CTGAGCAGCCAAATTAACCATCAAAGAGTCTTCAACCATGACTTCGGAGGAGATTTCTTTCAACTCGTCCTCAGCCTTGTTAATCTCCATATGCAAAGACTCTTTCTCAGCTACGACTCGAAGATATTGAGTACGCTTGGCCTTTAGTTCAGCATTCTTGGCCAGCATAGAAAGGACCTCGGAGTGGATGACCTTCAACGTCGCTTTAAAATCGGCAGAAAGATTGAGCGACGGAAGCGTCAGTGCTTGCTCCAACTTCGCACTCAAGTGCTCAAGTTCATCCTTGTGTCTGGCAGCACTAGCCCTTTCAATATCCATATCCATGAAGGATACGTACTCAAATACCGACTCCTTCAGGAACTTCAAATCTTCCTCTGAAGAAGCAGCAGGACAATCAGATGGAGCAGGGCGAGGAGTCTGGACTTGCCCCCAGGAAGCGAACAAGTCTTGGATAGAACGCACAATCCTGTCAGCATCCTGCAAAGGAAATTTCCAATATTAAAGATGCTCACTATAATGAACAAAATAGAAATAGAAGTGAAGCAAAGACTACCTCATCAACAATCGTAGAAGATGGAATGCCCTCAACCAAGTCTGCCACCAACGACTCCTCCATTCGTTAGGACTTCCCCTTGTCTGAGCGAGAAGATGTTGCCACAACGGGCGGACTCATAGGAGTATTTACAAAACTCAAGAGCAACAAATCAGAAACCAACAGCACGAGCAAAGGTAAGACATCAAAAAACTGAATTACCTTCTACTTCGATGTTTGAGGGGTTGACACCCTGGGAAGAAGGTGGCTCATCCATGGGTTGTGATGAAGACTCTGGGACTGAAGATATCTCTTTAAGCGTAGTCCCTTCATCAACCGGTTTGGATGAAGTAGCCTCAGCAGAAGATGATGGAGCAGGAGTTGTCGATGTCAAAGCCTTTGAAGGAGAGGTTGAGCTTTTCTGAGAAATCCAAAAGATCATCAGCACACAGAAAAGTTTCAAATGTGGAAAAGTATACTTATAAGTAAACCAATTTAATTACCTTCCTCCTAACGATAAGAGGGGCATCATCATCATCATCAACATCATCCTCCAGAATGGGAGATGCTGAGGCTGGCCGTTTACGGCTTGGAGCACTCTTGGCCGTAGTAGGCTTGGCAGGGAGAAAAGAAGATGGACGAGCAGACTGTTTAGTGCGACGAGAAGGAGAGGGGCTCCGAACAGACAAATGAGTGACCAAAACAGGAGGAGGAGAAGAAATGCTCGGTTGGTCTAATGAATGAAAGGCACGATTGGCATCAGTCGCAAATAATCTGCGCTTCACCGATGGCCAAAGTTGTTCAAAAAGAGGGTGAATGGCGTGGCTAGAATTGAAGGGGGCCAATGAAAAATGACTGGTTAAAAGAAGATTACGAGCATCTATGGCCTCTGCCTCCGCCTTAGTAATGGTATGAAAACAGTCAACTAAGTTCCTTGAATAGCAAGGAGGAACAGGCCAAGTTTGGCCAAAACCAAGCTGACGAGCAAAAAATTGGGGAGCATAAATCTCTACCCCCGCTTTGGCATTGATCCCAGTTAGAATATCATGAAATAGCTCCCTCCCGGTTAAAAACTGGATCCAAATGAGTAGGGAGGTGCTCGCATTATCTATAATGGAAGGGGGATGTACATAGTTTGGAGTCAAAAAAGGAGGAAAGGGAAAAAAGGAAGGGATTGAATCCAAAGAATAAATGAAAAAATGTTCCTTCTGGACATATTTACAGGAGTTAAGGGCTCCATGGCTAGCCCATAACAGCTAGCAGAAGGGTGAGAAATGGATGGAGCACCCAGCCATGGAAAATAGGATCTCAACCACAGTTGAGTGAACCAAAGAGGTCCACTGCCAGTGGGAGATGCACCATTCTTCAATTGAGCTTGAAGAGAGGCCATGCCTCTATAAAGGGCAGCCAAAAACAAAGAACATAAATTCAAAGGCCTGCCACGCGCCAATTCGTGCGCTATAGGTAAATAACTTAGAGAGGGCTTTATACTTGGCACGCACAAAACATATTTACAAAGCCAAACTAAAAGGAAGGTCACTCGCTTAGTATGGGTAGGCTCAGCGCTCGAATGATTGTGGAGGGTCTGCAGGCTTGAATAAGAATCGGTGTAGTTTCTACCAAACTTTGGGGCGCCACCAGAGACTAAGATACCAGGAAAAATGGTATCGTCCAAAGGTGGCAGATTCACAAGGGCCCTAACATCCCTTAAGGTAATAGACATGGGGCCAAGATGAAAATAAAGGTGTTATACTCAGAAGACCAAAAACTCAAAGTAATTGAAAAGAGTGCTGAATCAAAAGTAGGGGGGCGGATAGAGATTTCCAACAAATCAGAAATCCTAGCGCTATCAAAAAGTGCCTTGGTAGGACCATGACCCACAAGGCGAGCATGCCACCTGCGAAAAGCTACATCAGATTTAGGCCAAGTGCGAATACCTCTTTCGCGAAGTGGCCCCAGCAGCAGAGAGTTTAGAAAAGAAGGCCATGAGTGCAAGGAAACAGCTGACCCACCGCCGCCTGTTCAACTGCCTCCGCATTGTTGAAGAAAGGACCCAAGTAAAACTCATTACGTCCAACGTCGGTGGGCGCGAGAAAGCTTGGGGTTATGTATGGGGGACTCAGAAGTCTTTGAAAGTCATCAAAACTAAAGGAATCGCTAGCTTGAGATTGTGAAGCAGCCATTTGAGAAGGAACGAAGCTTTTCAGGATTACGTAGTAGGGAAGCAAAAGATGAATAGTGAATCATGAAGGAGACGCAAAAAAATATGAGGTGTGGTTTGATGGCAGTAAAATAGCGTGTTTGGGGTTTATAAGGGTTTACAAAACGACGCACATTTTCAAGTTATAAAAGGAAACAATGATTGAAATTCTTGGGAATTTCGAATGTTGCTGGAAACACAAAGTGAATATGGCAAAATTTAATAATTGTTATTAATTCTGCCATATTGGGGGTAATTATTGACACATAAAAATTCAGCCCAAATCGAACAGCTCAAGGAATGAAGCCCAATTGGAGAATCCCCATATCAGATAGCCCAAAGAACAAAACTCAATCGAACAAATCAAGATGAAGGCCCAAGAACGCGGTAACGCCATCGCCCAAGTTTGCAAGTCGCCCAGAATCTGAGCGAATGGAGTGTCATACAGTCGCCCAGAGCTGTTACTCTATTCTCGCCCAAACCTTCAAGTCGCCCAAGGTATTAACAAACATAACGCGTCGTGGTTATCAAGAAGTGCAGTTATTAAAGCAGCCCTATCACGTTCCACGATTCAAGGAATTCAATCGAAAGCGGTTGAACGATGAAGGGTAATGACAGCAGTTAAAAGATAGTTTCCATGACAAGGTGGCCATTACGAAGAAAGTGGGTAGTTATAGGACGATCAAGCAGTTTTTAGAGCAGTTGATTACAAAGAGATCGCCTATGAAGTATAAAAGGGAGAAAGGACGTAGAAGCAAAGGACCGAATCCGAAACTCTCGAACAGAGAATATGTAATTTTCATTTTCTTAGTTTTTAGATTTAAACACTTTTCTTTCAGTAACTCGTGTGCTTGCGCCCCTTGGAGGCAAGTTATTTTTCATTTCCAATTGTAAAGTCATCGCCAATAAAAGAACACCCCTTTTTGGAACTTTGTCTCAAGAGGTTTGTCCCTTACACAATCGTCTGACCCTTTTTAATTGTTAGCGACTAACCCGCGCGAAACACCTTTCAACCACCCTTCTGGTTTTAAACACTGTTAAGTCTTCTCCAGTAGTTTCAGAATTAAAATCACTGAGACGAGTGAAAACCTTTTGCCTGCATCAGTGGTGTCCAAACAATAATAATGAAGTAAAGTAGAGAAATCCAGTTCAATTACAGATATATTATGCAAGAAATTATACCTGTTGGATCTTGATAATGCATGAGAAACCTCAGCCTATTCCTTCTTGGTAAGAGCCTTAAAACATTCCCTTGCGTCCTGCGAGTTAATAAAAGCCATTATGAGGGAATAAATGAACCAATACACGTAAAAATTATCGCTAGATATTCCCAAAAAAATGACATGTTTTAGCAACTGTAACCTTAACTTCATTTTCTTCCAGGGGCACAATGATTTTAATTATACTTTCAAGACGCCATAAGCTCTATTCTATATTTTTTAAGGGAAAACTCTAATCTTATATAGTGTGTAAATCGTCCCTAACTACAAATGAGATGAAAGATGGAATACATTCAACCCAGTGAATAGATACCGGGACAGTATTAGCAAAGAGAGCAAGATTATGGGCCACAAGTTCCCATTTCTAGGTACAAAGAGGCAAGAGCCTACCACTGCTGACCGGTTTTTTCACTCAAATCACCGGAAGAAGAGTGCTGATTATTGCTGCTAGGGCTTATAAATTGAATGGATGCCAACTCATTCAAAGTAGCTGTTCTCTTGCTCTTCCTCCATGCAAAAAGCACACTTGAAATATCTGCCTCCTGTTCCACCAGGACCGAACAATCCTCATCATATTGGAAATTGCTAACCGGGATATCCATTCTTGTAAATTTCAGTTTCAAATCAGGGAACTGAAAAATTCTTGAAATCACAGATTTTGACAGTACAAGTCAATCAAACTCGGTGGCATTTTGATTCAAGGGAATTGTAAGTTCTTTTTCTTCTTTTCCTGAAAATGTAAATTGCGACCAGAGATTTGGAATCCGATGTGAAATGATCATTGCGAAGCTTTTTATCGCTGATTTAAGCCCTCATTTTGAAAGGGTAAAATTGAGGTGGAGTTGTCAGATTCCAATGGCAAATTCTAAACCTGAAGAACCGTAGATTCTTGCACAAGACAATCTCGATACAGTCCTGAAGATCGAACAAATTTCAAGTGCGCATTAATTGCATAAAATTGTATAGATCTGATCTGCACACTGAATAGATTTCGGCTTTTGGAATTTGTTGAGAATTAAGTTACAGTAGATGTAAAATGAATCCGATGCACATTGAAGAAGGAGGACCAAATATATAAATTCTGCTCTTTAGGAGCTGACGTTTTTAGACAAAGCGACTCAATAGAATCATCTGTCGTGCATACAAAAGAGTGTTTCAACAAATACCCAAAAAAATGACCTCCTCAACAGGGATTTAATCTCAAAGAATCAACTGGTTTCCACTAGAAAATACAGACAATAGCCTAACCAGAAAGAGAGAGAATAAAAGAAAATGAGGGAAAAAAGAAAAAGAAACACTGGTTGAGCTCAAACCAGACTATAACTGCACCTGTGCCACCGTCGAATTTCCCTGGAAGGTAACCATTTTCTCCTTGGACTTTGCTTCAGAGAAATGAGATGATAAAATCTTCCAACAGCTCGTTCTGACAATGCCAACCCTAATTAGTGAGGAAAAAAATCTCAACAATTCCTTGGGATGCTTCTCCTTGTCATTTATTCCTTACATAGGAAATATTCAACTTCATTGAACCAGGGCCCGCAAAGCCATCTCGGCATCATCTAGTGGTTGCCCTGCGTAAAGTTGCAGTTGCCCTTTCTTTACAACAACTAGCATCATGGTATGTGATTTCACGGCTTGAATCAAATCCTGGAAACATTAAATATTGTGTCGATGATGTTATAACCACCAAAAGAAGAAAAAACTAAATACTTCCACGAGAAATACAGTAGGCAAAATCAAGGACGAGACTTGGGACTGTGTAACTAGAATCCTAGCATATAATGTTGCCCTAAAATGTGTTGGGAGATGTAAGTAAACTGAAGTTAAAACTACACCATGTGTCATATGAAAAGGGTAGAACTTTTATAGATTAGCTTCATTTTAGTCCAAACTTTTCTTCGAAATTAAAAGGCAAAGCTTTCATTTTCATTTCAATTTAAGCACTCCGTGTGTCTATATCTACATGCATTTTGGTGCATTATCTTCATTGCCCAACAGGCAAAAATGCACCTTATTGGACAGGACATGCTACTTTTTTTGTTTCTTTATAAAAGCACATTTTGAAAGCACAACTTTTCCATAAAATACGTGTCCGTGCATACCTCGTAGACAAAAATAACGGAGCACAAATGGATTTTTCTTGCCACACTTTAATTTCCTTTAGTCACGTCAGCATTTTGTTAAGAGTAATGCTGTTTATCTCCATTAGAGTTATCACCACATGATGTAGCACTAAATGACAAGACTAATAATATGGGTATCATATCTATAAATTTAATTCAACTTACCATTTCATAGCCCATCACCGACCACATAGACTATAGATTGGTGATCATCTCTAATGGAGATAAATAACACTATTCTTCTATTAATTCAGCAGAACGGAGTGCCTCGTTGAACCAAATACGGAAGTTCAGTGACCGAATTGAAACAGTGCTATAAGTTGGGTGACTTATAGCGTTCTAAACCTTTCTAAAATGGTCACAGATGAAAATAAAACCAACTCACTACATAGCAGGGGTGATGAAACATGAACTGATAATTAGTGTAATTAGTTTGTTCTTACTGCGACTTTTAGAGGAACAATCTCGGCGCCAAAGTCTTTGAGATCGTTAAAGTAGGAATGCAGAAGATAACAAAAATTGCTCGCATCACCACGATCCTCAAAAGCTACTGTATGAGATAATTCACCCCCTGCACTAGCTGTGCTCTTCAAGGTGTAAAGTCCATGTCTTCCCTCATCACCATGGCCGCTATGCATGAGAATACCCTGAATTGAACACAGAATATTATTCCTCTGAAAATTTTCACTAAATACTTTTTTTGAATGTGGGATCGTACCAACTCGAACTCTTGATCTTCAAAGTGGAATTTACCACACAATTCCACCCAGACAAGAAGAGCTGGTAAAAATTTCACTAAATACTGACATTTTATTAATTATTTATAGTCAATTACATTTCATTGAATTTCAAACTTCGTTTTGAGAACCATGTAGTGTTAGTAGGATGAACATTAATAGCATGTTCAATATGGCAGATTAGCAGCATTGCACAATACTTGAAAAGAAAAGAAGTTAAAGTAATGTTCATTATAGCCCCGGTTTGATTCCCATTTTTGGGATAAAATGAATTATGGAATAGTAGTTTTTTGGAGAATGTGTGGTTAAAAAGTAAGGAAAAATTTTTGAAATTCGTGTATAATTATTTTATAGAAAAATGTGTGGTTGAAAATGAATTTTGAAGAAATGCATTCTTGAAAAAATGAGGATCAAACAAGGGCATAGTGTAAGTCGTGCTCTTAAAGTTTTGTTTGCTTACAAACACAAAAGAAAGCAAGTCAATGATGAAAATACCATTTAACCATTTACAAGTCCTACGTACAAAGTTAAAACTACAATATTATCACATACCAAATTATTACTAAGTCACAAATTTAACATATTTAGAACTCAATAACTACTACTACTTCTCCAAGAAGGTCCCAAACAAGACTTTGTTTAGGCTTATTAGTATGTAAAAAACACAAATATATGTCATTAGTCCAAGTAATAAGAGGAGTACAAACTTTAAAATCAAATGCATGATTACTAACTAATAGAATGTCGACCCCCCTTTAACTGTAAGAAACTCAACTAGGTGCCTATGTATTAATATAGAAAATACCTACTTGTCATATAAAAGCATCAGAAAATTAAGCAAGCAACAATAATCCAAATAGTAAAAAGACAGCAAGAATGAGATATGAACATATAATATTTACTAGATCTATTTACATACTAGAACATATGGAAGATTCAACCACCAGAAGTCAGTCTCACTTTTGGATTTGACATCCTCAACATCATTAGCCGCTTGAGTGCTTCCAACTTCTTTCCCATTTAAGCTATAGTTTCCATTGAACAGCTTATTGGATGGTGCAGATTCGCTCAATTTCGCGGATTCTTTTTTTGAATTTCTTGACTTCATGGATTCAACTGTAGGACTCTGGTGACTTTGGTCCTGCACAGTGCCTGTCGAAATAATAAGCAACTCAGAACTCTACAGCAGCAAATAGCTTACGATTTTTTTTCATTCAACAAGAAATACACTTAGCATGATACAGCAGATATGAAAGTTCAAAGGACACAAATGCATTGAATTCTTAGCCTTTACAGCTTTTCAACACAGATTGCTGTGGTAGACTAGACAATACTGGGAACTATTAATGAAGAAAAACAAGCTTAAATCTTGTCTATTGTACTGTCAATTATTACCCATCAAACATGCACTACATGTTCCGGACTGATAATAAGAACATTAACACCATCAGCCAAATATTCTCCCACTATTGGTTGAAAAGAAACTTCTGGCAACTTCTCATTAATCTTATAAATATCTTCTAAAATAATGTTGACGTATAAGAGTCTGAGTTCAGAAGGAAATGCATTAGAATATGCATGCATTGAACTGTTAAATCATCTCAACTTTGTAATAGTAAATAGTTAGCTAAATAATAGATGTGTGAAACATTACCATTTTTCACTTTCAGTTTAGCGACACCCTTCTTTCCTTGTTTCCTCGTCCCCTTTTCTTCCACCGACTTCTTCGGCATACTGTTCGAGGACACAGTGACATCCACTGTCCCTTTCTTTTCACCATTTTCCTCCAAATGGATCGAATCACTTCCATCTGAATCCTCTACGTAATTGTCATCATTCCCACTTCTCAACAACTCGTTCCCCTTCTCCATGTTTCCACCTTGCTTGAACTTATTAAAACTGTCAT